GTGGGTACTATCTGCAAGTATGAGTGTTCTAGCGCATCTCCCCTCACTTCATATCAGCTGGCACTTCACTCTCTGCTCTAGTCTTCTCTGTCCCTAGGTCTTGCCATACTGTTGGCCAACCAGGTCTCAATCTGCATTCATAGGAATCTATTGAACGTAGTCAGACTTAGCTCACAACTTCATTGCTGTTTTCCCCCCTCTTCCGCTTATTGGTGACCAATGTGGTCACAGCCAGACCACATGCCTGCTCATGTATTCCCCTTGAATACATGGAAGGAGTTTGCCCTTAGGGGACTTGACCACTTCCTTGATGGCTCCCAGGGGAACAACTTGCCTGTTCTTGTAGTAGTCAGTTGGACTGCCATTATTGTTTTTGATTTTTCCTGTCGGGCTTTCTATCAAGAAATATCTTCTGTTCTTTTAGCTGCTCCAGGCTGGTTTGCTTGTCTTTACAAGTGGAAATTTCCCACCTCAGAAGATTCTAGATGGGGTTCAGGATTCCACCTATAGTTTTATGCAATGCAAAGGCTCCGTGGGAAGCCTCCTTCACTGGGCAATTCAAGCCCCATTTTAGGTATTCCAATCAGTTATAGGCTGAAGGTGCCTTTACAAGATTTCTATGATGATGTTTCTGGCTATTCCTTTCTCTCACCCTCAAATGTCTATTTTATAATGGTAGGCAAGGGAAGCTAAGTTTCAAATGACAGCCAAGCATCTAAATATTATTTCCCCTCTTTACCCATTCTAACCATGTCTCAATCCCTATATCCCAGAGCCCTGTTGTTACAAGGTTGTGGAAACATCATTATTTTTCTCTGACCCACTTGGTCCATGCAAACCTGTCTAACTCTTCTCCCATCTGCCTTGTTCTTCCATCCCTCTCCCACTTCTTGTGTATTGCACGCCCCCCTCCCCAGCACCAGGACTCCCAAACAACATATACCATGGATTCAGTTCTGACTCATAGTGACCCTGCACAGGGCTGGATTAGGATGTAGATTCACCCACTTTTATTTTATATGTCTAACCATGGGATAGCACCCAAAGCCTCAACCATATTTGTTATTTTCAGCTATTTAAAATTTTTAAGAATTTTTGTCCTGGAAGACAGAGCAATGTAGAGGGAAACCTTCCCCCCACCCAAAGGTTGAAGACCACAGCTGGGTCCAGTTATTCCTGGTGTGCTTTATGAATTACCCTGCTGAAACCATCTTCTCCCAGTACTCCAACCCACCCTTCTTCCAGAGGGGAGCACTCCTTATCTGGGTGAAGTCCTTTGGGAGGTGCACTTGCCACAGAAGCTCTGCAGCAGAGGCCTTCTTTCCTCTTGGCATCTCTAACTCTTGCTGTTGTTGTTGTTAAGTGCCATCAAGTCAGTACCAACCCATAGTGACCTTATGCACAGCAGAACGAAACACTTGCTACATAGAACAAATTAAGGACTTTGGAAGCCCTACTCGTGCTCCCCAGCCTTCATAAATTCGAGATTGGCTGTGGCTATTTAAACAAAACATCATCAGCTCAAGGCAACTCTACTAGCATGTTGTTTTGGTTAAGTACCATGACACTGTACAGGGTTTCCGAGGCTGCAAATCTTTGCCGGTGCAGAATGCCTCATCATTCTCCTGCGGAACAGCTGGTAGTTTTGAACTGCCGACCTTGAGGTTAGCAGCCAGATTTGTAACCACTACACTACCAGAGCTCCTAATAGTGGTGCTGGTGGTTATGTGCCATGGAGTCGGTTCTGACTCATAGCGACCCTGTACAACATTTCTGAGGTTGTAAATCTTTACAGGAGCAGAAAGCCTCATCTTTCTCCTGCAGAACAGCTGGTAGTTTCAAACTGCTGACCTTGAGGTTCATAGCCCGATTCATATCCACTACACTACCAGAACTTGTAATGGTATGGGTATAAAATATTTTTTCAGAAAGAATTAAAGTGGTCATAGCAAATGCTTTTGTCAATAGAGTATCTATATTAACCCTACTATCTTCAATATAGAGAGCTATTTTAAAATGTTATCTTCATCTTGTATTTATTAAAAGTACAAAGGTGTTTAAAAAACTGTTTTCAATTTAGAAAAAATATATTGGACACACTTGGGAATTAAACAAAAGTGCCATGGAAAGTATCCCAATTATGTAGTTATTCTGTACTTCCAACATCTGAGTTAATAGAGCATCAGGACATCTGGGAAGAAAGTGACAATTTCTGACTATCTTCCTAATGTTTTGTCTGAACCCATGATTTTTTCAGTCTGGGGCAAATTTGCCTCACAACTAGGTGCTACTGGCCTTGAGTGAGTAGAGATCAAGGGTGTTGCTATATTGTTGTTGTTGTCAAGTGTTGTTGAGTTGGTTCTGACTTATGGTGACCCTGCATAGGGTTTCTGAAGAGTGGTTGCTGAGTTTGAACCACCAATCTTGCCCTTGACTGCCTACCATGTGGTCCAGTGTTTATCTTACAGCACCACACCAGGACACCAGTGATGTTAGTATGCTGTTGTTGTTATGTACCGTGAAGTCGGTTCTGACCCATAGTGACCCTGCACAGGGTTTCCAAGGCTGCAAATCTTTACAGGAGCAGAAAGCCTCATCTTTCTCCTGCAGAACAGCTGGTAGTTTCGAACTGCCGATCTTGAGGTTAGCAGCCCAATTCATAACTACTACGCTACCAGAGGGTATACATCCTACAAATGCACAGGGCACTTCCCCCAAACAAAAATTATTTGTCCCAACATGTCAATAGTACCAAAACTGAGAGACCCTATTGACTCCACTCCACCTTTCAAATTGGACCAATCCATCACACCCCATGTCCCTATCAGCCCATACAAGTAACTTGTGGCTCATGTCCTAGTTTGGCGATTATTCGGTCAGTCTCCTCATGGAAACTTATTTATGCTGAGTCTCATCACTGTGCCTCCAAATCCAGGATTTGCCACCAACTGACAATTTTCTTTCCTCTCTTCCCAACTGGCATTTCAGACATCATTACAAAATGGTTTTTTGGTTGTTTTGTTGTTGGTTTTCTCAGTTCCTTTGGCCTCCATATTTTAGACTTCAGGTTCTAGAGTTAGACTTCAACTTGAGTTCCAGCCAGATTGCTTAGTAGTTTCAAGTCATAGTGCAAGACAAATTTCTCTGAACCAGTTGTCTTATTTGTAAAACAGAATACTTGGCAAAAATGGTCAGACCTCCATCTCGATGTAGGAAGAGCCATTACTATTGTGTTGTTCGTAATTACTTAGAGCTTATAAATTTCCTCTAAAGTGTTGTGGTGCTGTGAGGCTTACTGGGGTGAGGTGGTATGTAAACAGAGGCTCATAGCCCTGGCTGGGACTTAGAAATCAGTAGGGGTTCTTAAACTAAGCGCAGCCTCTGCCTCCGAAGATTCTGAGTGTTTTTTGGTCTGGATCTAGCACACAGTAGTGTTAAAAGTTCTCCTAGTGAGTCTATTGTGCATACCAGGGTGAGAACCACTGGTACAAGTGTTGAACAACTTGCCTGGCACACAGTATGAGGGTTAGTCAAAAAATATTACTACTAGGGCTCCAGTTTGTCCATGTGCAGGTTTATTCCAAACAAATATATTTAAACATGTCTCTATGATCAGCACATGACTGCAGACCAGTTCTCTCAGTACTATGCTTGTCTTGGTCTCATTGGGTTTTTTGTTTTTGTTTTTTAAGTGATTTCTGAGGGAGTCTGCTAGCACAGTTAAATTCAAGGCAACGATGTAAGCTCTGAGGATTAAGTTAACTGATTTTTAGAATTCCCAATGGATAATCTTGATAGATATTCTAGGAGAATTCGGAAAATGGACCATTGGTGAGAAAAAGACCAAGAAAGTTGCACTTGGATTTTTTTTTTTTTTCCATCACAACAATGCACCTCCACAATATTCAAGGAAAGCAAGGACTGTCCCATGATAATTGCATTGAGAAACCTTATTCCACCCACATTACAGGCCTGATGTTGCCTCTTCAAACAGACTTTTTGTTCCCCAACTCAGAGAATGTTAGAAAGAAACATGATTTGAGTCCCTTGAGGATGCCAAAATTGCCATTATGATGTAATGTTAGTTGAAGAGCACAGAAGTCAAATAGCATCACATTTTGATATTTTTGTTTAAGAAAGTTTTATCTGATTTTGTAGCAATGCTTTTTAACTTACTTTCATACACGCTGTGATCACTATCATGATCACGATGTATTCCAGTCCTAAAGTCCCTGGACTCCAGCTCTCTGCCTATCCCACCGCAAGAGACAAGAATTTAAATACAATTTAACAAACACAAGGAACTAAGAGCTGTTACGAATCAACTCATGAACAACTAGCTTTATATCGCTCCTGGACTCAAATGTGGTGGCTGCAGATTCAAGTCTCTTTTGCTTTAATGTCCAGATTCCTCATTCTCAAGTTCAACAGGAAGAATTCTTTCTTTGGACATATGAAGAGGCTTCAAAAAGTTCATGGAAAGTTCCATTATCTTCGCATTCCATTTTTCCATGAACTTTTTGATGGTCCTCTCATACTTCTTCCCAGTATGTTTAAAAGTAAGGTAGAGATTTCCTAGAGCATTTTTACCAATTGAATTCAGGAATTCCCCTATATCCTGGCAGGAAATTTGAGCCCAATCCAGAAGCAAAGTTCACCTAGTGGCCTTCACAATAGATATCTGTTGCTACACTAAATAAATGCATTTCCACCTCCTGCTGACAAGGAGCATTGAGTGGCCAAGGCTATTAACCTATGCTCTAATTAGGTTGGTTTTCCTAATGAGAACAAGTGTGGTTCTAATTAGTAATTTTCCATCTTTTTCTCAATAAGTATCCCCAAGTCAGAGTAATCAGTTCTGTTCCTCACACTGATTCCATTGTCAAAAATAGTCATACTGTACCCCGTAAGCAAAAATGGAGCTGGTTAAGGAGACAGAAGAGCCAAAAAAAGTTTCAGTTATTACTAATGAACTATATTCTCCCCTCAATCATTTTTAGGTCCGTGGTGCTAAAGTAGTTGGTTCTGACATGGTTGTAACAGTCGAGTTCACCAATCCTTTAAAAGAAACTCTTCGAAATGTCTGGATATACCTGGATGGTCCTGGACTAATGAGACCAAAGAGAAAGATGTTCAGGTAAGAGCTGGGGTCGGGGTGGATCAGGTAGCAAGGAGGCAGGCGTACATTCTTGGGGAGCTTTCTCTCATCCCTACTCTTTCAGTGGCCCTGCACCCAAATCCTGCAGTAAATGATAAAAAGCATCTTTTCTACCTTCTGGTCCTACCAATCATCTTAATTATGTCATAAGGGCCTGTGAAGAAGAAGACCCACTCCTCTTCTTCTAACAACAACAACAACAAAAACAAAAAACAACCAAACACACTACCATATAATCAATTCCAATTCAGATCAACCCTATATAGGGTTTCTGAGACTGTAAATCTTTTGGGGCATCTTTCTCTGTCAGAGTGGCTGCTGGGTTTGAACCACCAACTTTGTGGTTAGCAGCCCAACACTTAACATTTTTTTAACCCCATAATAGTTTGAAAATGTCTGCAAACTGCTGTCATGCCTTCCTTGAATCTTCTCTATTGGGGGTCTAGCAGCTCCGCTGACTTCATCCCTTTCTTCTCTAATGGGGTTCACCTCCTTCCCTTTCCCACACACTCCAATTTGTCACTACTCCTCTTCAAGTCTGACACACAGAATGGATCCCAATCTTTGAGGTTTATTACTTTCATTTCTACCACAAATAAGTTCCTGTCAGCATCAATCAATCTAGCACATTTCCTGTGGTGTGACCTTGTAAGGCACTGGAAGGAAGGTGAAGGGCTTTGTTGCTTTGAGAAACTGCTTTTTGACCAGATATTAGGAATATTCTCAATGCCCTTCAAGGAAGCTACCCCACTCCAGAATCTATGAAGACAAATGCAAGGCCTCATTCATCTCTCTGGCCCACCCATTAAAGAAAAATCGCCCACTAAAGGCTCTCTGCATTTCTTGCAAATTGTAGTGCTCACAGCTTCTGCTTCACCATTTAACAGTTGCCTAATGCTGGCTGATGCAATCAACAGAGAAAATAATCTGAGTGCTTTAAAAAAAAAAATGCAAGCACAAAACATAACAACCTTCCTGTGCTAATAGGAAAGTTGCAGGAAAAGAGAATTAAATTAGAAATCAACCCCAGCTCGAGGGAGAGGTCAGTAGAGATAGCCCTGCTTTCGTCAGAAACGACAGTCTCAGCCGCCCATTCTCGCACCTTCCCACTCTAATCAGATGCAAGATTCGCTCAGGCAAAGTGAAACACGTTTCTTCTTCCAAACAGCCCCCTGCTGTATCCAATTTTTCCTTCTCCAACAATATACCACAAACTGCCGCTTTATGAGTCCCAGAATCTCCAGCTACCTTGACTCCTCAGCTGTACCAAGGTGTGACGATCACCAGAATCCTGCCTTGATCACATGCCAGTGCATAAAATAGGACATTCGGTGCTTTAGAAAAAAACATCTCCTCACGTAAGATAATGGCCCACCATTTGGGAGGCATAGTGCTCAAAGTCAGTTGAGTTTATTGGGCCATGTTTTTGGTCAATACGTGACATATCCAATATTGGAAAAAGTAGCTTTATTTTTCAGTAAGATGACAGAAGATGCCAGTCTGCAGATGGACACAAATGTCCCACTCATACTCTAACTTAAGGCATTAATTTTAGTCACAACTAAAATGCACGTTGATACCAGAGAAAACAGAGATTCTCAATCACTTATGGAAACCCAAATCCTGGAAGAAATCTCTCCCAGGCAAGGGAAGCTGGTTCTCAGAATTAGTTGCCATGGAGTTGACACCAATTCATGGTGGCCCCAGGTGTGCCAGAGTCGGCCTGTGCTCCATAGGGCTTTCATGAGCTGATAGGTTTGAAGTAGATCCACTGATCTTTCTGAAGTCTCTCTGGGCAAACTGGAACCACCACTCTTAGTGAACAGCTGAGTATGGCAACTGTTTACACCGTCCAGTGACTCTTATTTCTCAGAGACTTTCAAAAATTGGAAAGATCATGGCACAGAAAATGTATCTTATCTGGGCTAGATGAAAGACTTTGGAGCCTGGCCCACTTACTCTGTGTCCTCCTGACCAGGCAAACACCTTCACAGCCAACACCTCCAATCTCATCAGATACTTAACTGTGCTTTTTGTTAGGAGATCAGATCCAAGAGAGACAGAACTTGCAATTTGATAGAGACCCTTTTCAAGACTGTATTCCTTTCTAGGGTTCACAACTCACCACACCCCCTTCCAGAGCCCCGTAAGTGAGGGGATCTCATGCCAAAAGCATTGGGCCTATGAAGGCGGATGGGAAGGCAGAGGCAATAAGGGAACAGACACCAGGAAGAAGACGAACGGTGTTAGGTCTCGTTCCCTCCTCAGAGGTTCAAGCCACCTGTGATCCAAGATGCCTTATGTTCCTGCTCCCCGCTGCTTCCCTCCTGCCTCAGATGCTCCCAGCTTCTGCTGTTACAAACTCTCAGCTTTTATATTTCTGCATTTGATACTTCCAGAACATCAGATAATTTATCTTCCAGATTCACTTTTCTCCTTAAAAAAAAAAAAAAATTATATTCAAGGAGCTATTTCATGAGAAAAATATCCTGACTTTGTGAATTTGGTTTAAATTTTCAGTTTCTTGAGTTGGACAGAGACAGAGGGTTAATCTCACAGAGGACAAACCCTAGGTAGTTTCAGTTTATTGTAATAATAATCCCATTTGCCTGCGTGCATTCAAGATGATGAATGGCTGGTATAACCTGCTGGCTCAGCACATTACTGAGAATCATTCATCACAACATCTATCCTGAGGCAAATAGGATTATTCCAATATTACTCAGTTGCCAAAATCTGGCAAATGATTTCATTCTTCTCTCTTTCTATATGTCTTTATGTTGGTAAATACATATTTAGATGCATATTTAGACCTGTGCCTTCACATGCATGTGTTGATAAAAACACACATAGAAATGCACCTCTATCTTCGTGTGTATAGTTATCTGTCAATAATACAAAAATGCATCTTCATGTAGCTACTTACTTGTTGGTGAATGTACACGTAGACATGTACTGTATCTTCATGTATGAGAGTCTATATACGTGCATATCAGTACTTGGATTTTTATGAGAAAGACCAAGTAATAAGGCTAAGCTCAAGGATTTAATTTCTATTTGAGTATTTAGCTGGATGACTGGTCTAACCACTAAACTGTACAACTATTTCATAAAGTATTTCTTAAGGAAGCCAGGGAAAAGAATGAATGGATAAGGATAAGAAAAGAAAAAAAAAAACACCCCACAGCTGTTGGGAACTATCATACACCTTTATTTATGTTGAATTAATCATCTCAGCTAAAGAACCAAGAATTGTTTCTTTGCCTACAGACAGGAGGAATTTACTTTCTTCAATTATTTTGCAGAGAGTCAGGCAAACGGCAACCACAAAAGGGGATGGGGTAACAATGCAGCAACAACATGAATAAAAACACACCATGTCTAACACTGCTTGGAGTCCCGCTGTGGCACTGTGGCCTAATGCACTGGACTGCAAAGTTGCTTTGAACCACAAGGTCACTGGTTCAAACCCACCAGTCACTCATTGGAAAGAAATCCTATGCAGGGTCGCTATGGATCATAACTGACTGGACGGCATTTAACAAAAACAACACTGCTTGGTATTTACCACATTCCAGGCAAATACTAGCTCATCCCAACCTCTCTATCCTGTCAATCTGTCCCTTTTACAGGAGAGATGACAATAGCGTGGACAGTGCTTTTCAAGCCTTTGTTATTGTTGTTGTTAAATGCCATCGAGTTGGTTATGACCCATAGTGACCCTGTATAGGGTTTCCAAAGAGTAACTGGTGAGCTTGAACTGCCAACCTTCAGTTCAAATGGCTTTGCAGTCTGGCGCATTAACCCACAGTGCCACACCAGGACTCTATTTCAAGCCTTAGATTAGTCTCAATAGGTGGGTATGTGTTTTTCTCTTTATTTGGTTTTTATGTACCGTATTTCATTTTTAAACAAATAACCCCCGCATTGTACATGTTGGCTAACTGTGTCCTCTTCCTGAGGTATTTTTATAAGCACATGGGGCTAATTGTTTTACAGCGATATGAAAATACCTTGAGGGAGGCTACAGTTGGCAAAAACTTATAACATGAATGTTATTTAAATAAGGACATGGTAACAGAATTGAATGATGGTCACAGCTACATTTATAAAGAACAAAAATTAAGAAATGAATCATCAAATACAAAATTTTGACACCTGTAATCCAAAAGATGAAGATACATTTTTGTATTATTTAGACGTTTTAGATTACAAGTGTCAAAATCAATGCCTGGGGCAGCCCCAGGGAGAACTTCAAAGGCCTTAGATGCCTTCCCCAATCCACTGACCAGTGATATGAAAGAAGAAGGGTTTCTTATTTAATGGCTGGAATTCTGAGGTGTGGGGCCTTCCTTTCTTCTCCCAGTGAATGCACACCATAGTCAGCTGAAATGCATATTGCTTTACTGACCCTTGAGGAATCCTTGGTTGCTGACATGATGTAGAGTAGGTTAGTTATATGGTCCAGGATTCCACTTCACTTAGACTCTGTCTACAGGGGTGTTGTATGGCCCACCCCCAATGGTAGACGGGCCTCAGCTAGCCAGGCCCTTGGTTACTCTTGACTCTCCTTCCTTGCACCACCACCCCGTCCAGAACAGCATCCATCAGCCTCCGTTCCATTGGTCCCTCCGTGTCCTCCATGCTATCTATGAGGACATGTCTCATTCTAGTCCCTGACCCCTGCCTTTGGGGCCCTTAGAGATTATTCATAGAATTCCTAGTGCGAATTATATGGTGATATCTCATTGTGGTTTTGAAATGTATCTCTCTGATAGCTGATCATGCTAAGCATCTTTTCATCTCTTTGGTGGCCATTTGGATATTCTTTTTGATGAAATGTCTATTCAAATTTTTGCCCATTTTATGATTAGATTATTTGTATATTTATCATTAAGTTGTCAAAGTTTTATATTAGAGAATCTCAAAAAGTTCACAGGAAAAACCCATTATCTTTTCCTTTCATTTTTCCACAAACT